ACAGGAACTAGAAGGATGTGCAGCTATGACATACAACTATCTACTGGGGCTTTGGGGAAAAATAAATTAAAAAAAAAAACAAAAAAAACACATTTGACATGAAAAAAATTGGACTTTCAAGCTTCTCTTAAAGAAATTGGGAGATCTGGCAGCACTGCGCCTGTTTCCATGTGGCAGTAATTGGCTGGAACCTGGAGATGACCACCTCCTTGAGCCGTACACTCACCAGTCACAGTCCCCTGATCCCTGTTGCTTGCCATCAGCACATGCCCCCCTCACATCACTTGACTAGGCCCCAAGGCCTGTGAGAGTGTCCTGCCCTCCCTCCCCCACCCTTCTAGACAGAACTCAGAGGCTTCCTGGAGGATGTGGGAGCAACCCTCTGGGACCCAGATTTAGGGAGCTCCTTGTCTGGAGCAGGCAGAGTCACCAAGTGGTCATGGCCCGCTGCTGTGTGCTGAGCCCCCAGGCAGCTGACCCCAGCCCCTTGCTCCTTTGGGATCTGCAGAAGCTGGAGGAGCAGGAGCAGCGGGCCCAGCGGCTCAAGGAGAAGCTGCGCAGCAAGCAGCAGAGCCTGCAGCAGCAGCTGGAGCAGCTCCGGGGGCTGGCAGGGCCGGGCGAGCGGGAGCGGCTGCGGGCAGACAGCCTGGACTCTTCAGGCCTCTCCTCCGAGCGCTCTGACTCAGACCAAGGTGAGTGCCCTGAAACAGAGGGGTCACGTGGGCCGTGCGGGTGAGACCTCCTGACTGGCGTTCTTGCTGTGCAGAGGAGCTGGAGGTGGACGTGGAGAGCCTGGTGTTTGGGGGCGAGGCTGAGCTGCTGCGGGGCTTCACCACCGGCCAGGAGCACAGCTACTCACACTGTGGCGGCGCCTGGCTATGACCCTCGCCACCCCAGAGCGGGCCTCTGCCCTCAGACTACCCTCCACTCTGCCAGGCAGGAGCCTCCTCAAGCCTCAAGGGCTGCTCGGAGTCACCTCCTGTTGGAATGGACTAAAAGGACCCTTGTGTGAGAACAGGAGCTCTCCCCACTCTGCTGCTGGCTGCTGGCAGGCCCTCCTGGGAGGGGTGCCTGGGTCCCCCCTGAGCCCTGCAGGGCAGGCAGCTTGGGCCTGCACTGCCCTTCTAGGCGTCTTTTGTAGCACTTGGCTCTGCCGTCCCCATGGGGGCAGGAAGCCTCTTGGGCCTTCACATTCCTTCCTAGACAAGGGCCACTGGCCTTTGCCCCACAGATACTGTACAGTATTTTCATTAAAAGCCTCTTTCTTAACTTCCTGTCCATGGTTTTGCCTGATGAAAATGGGGAAACTCCCAGCCACAGACAAACTGGAAAAGAGGAAGTGCAATCAATAGCCACCACTAATACTGTTGACCGTGACAGGTGCGGCCCCTTTAACCCCCACAGCTTGGGAGGCCGTCTGTCCCCACTTTGCAGGGGCACTGAGGCTGAGTGATGTGACTAGCCTAAGGTCCAAAGCCAAGAAACAGTGGAGTCAAGATTCGAACCAAAGCTTTCTGACTCCAGAGCTGGGCTAACTGAACTCAACAGATATTTATTCAGTGCCTGTTATGTGCTAGATCTTGTTCCAGTACCTAGACACAGCAGAGAACAAAACACAGGTCTTGCTCTCGTGGAGCGTACAGTCTAGCATTTATGACCACGTAACCCACATGCTGTCTGTGACCCTGAGCAGGTCACTGCACCTCTCTGTGCCTCTGTCCTCAGCTGCCCAACGTGAGAATGAGCAGGCCCGGCTCAGATATGGATAATGTGCCTGGTGCACTGTAGATGCCTAACAGGATACCCCATCCCCAGCCCACCACCCAGACAGTAGAGAGAGCTAGAAGTTGCCTTTTAATCATCAAGTACGAGGGGGAGAAGGCAGAGGGACCTGAGCCTGGTAGTCTGGTGGGCCGCCGCCCCAGGGCCTGGGCTGCCTACACAAATTGCTGTTGCTGCTGCTGCTTCTTGGTGGCTGCCTTGCTGGCAAGGTCCTTGGCCTTCTCTGTAGCTGCCAGTGCTGTCTCCTTTGCCTTCTCCTTGGCTTCCTTGGCTGTCTCAACAAGAGATTTGGAAGGAGCCTCACCTGCAGCAAAGGGCAAGGGGCTGGCTTCAGAGGACGCCACAAAGACCCACCTAGTCACCCCCCGCGACATTCACCTCCTGTGGGCCGGGCCCCACTGGAAAGGCAGCGTTTGCCCCAAGGTACAGATGAGGCACCCCAGGCTTAAGAGTTGGTAGTGACAGCCCCATGCTCCACACCAGTCAGGGCAGCTAGGACTTGACCCCAGCCTCTGCCTGTGCCCAGAGCACTCACCTTGCAGCTTGGCCAAGATGTATTCAAAACCTTTCATAGTCTTGGTCACGTTGCTTTTGAACCGGGCAAGACCAAATTCCTGGCAAAATGTGGGAAGGGAAAGGATTCAGAGCTGCCCACTGACCCCCAGCCCAGCCTCTCTGCCAAATGCTCTGGGCTCCAGAGCCCCAGCACCCCCACAACGCTGCTCACCTGGACAGCTCTGGAGACGCCAAATAAGCTAGAGGAGACCCAGGCTTCCCGGCGGATTTCGGTCCAGCCACTGTTATCAGAGTTCACACAGTAAACACATCGTTCCTCCACCACCTGTGCAGGGAGTCGGGCCAACCACAATCATGTGGCAAAGTTCACTTTGCCAACTTGCATATAAATTTGATCCCCTGTCTCTTTTCACGAGAGAAAGCAAAAAAATGAAAATCCATTCCTTTCCCTTATTGCATCCCCAAGCTGCATTTCAGGAAAAGAGTAAGAACATAAAATAGGTTATTTTGTTCTCTAAAACCTCTCCTCTGACCCTTCAAACTAAAAGGCACGTGGAAGGCAGAGGGCCTTCCAGCTCCACCCTGGCTCTGGATTTTGTTTTGTTTTGTTTTGTTATGTCTAGACATGTGCAGTGTTGTTAGCCTGCCTTCCACCTATCGCAGCTCTTGAGCTCCCTGGCAGTCCAAATAAAAACGGAAATCTGGCAATCCTCACAGCTCTCATTATGAGAGGAGTGTGAACCAGTACTTTCAAGAGAAACACTTAAAACGTGTCTCATAGCTGGATTGAAAGACATTCTCACAACTGGATGGCTATCTTGGTTATTTACAGAACAGAGGTAATGCCCTTAGGATAGTCAGCTGGGAGGCCTTCAGATAACTCTGGGGCAGAGTATTAACGTGCCTACTCACTCTGTGACCTCATAGGACACTACCCCTCTCTGAAGCTCACTTCCTTCTTTGCACAATAGGGAGTAACAGATTAGCTGAAAAAGAGAATGAGCATTCTCTGAAAGCTTTCAGGGTATTCACATGTGAGAAGATACTGTAGAATGTTCTTTGAACTGTGGGCTTTCAAGCTTTTTGAAAGGCAAGAGATTAAAGGTATGTGGAACCTCTTTTCCCCAAATTCTCAGGAAAAAACCCATTATATAAGACAGATAAAAGTGCAACTTCTCTAGCCAACGTGAGGCAAGGGCCCCAGGTCCTCTCTCTCAGGCACATCCAAGGCACCCTTATGGCTTGGTGGACTGCTGGTTGAAAACCACTGCCTCCCTTTCTCAGCATCACTCCTGTAGGCCCAACCTATACATGTGCCAGGAACAGTGTGAATGCCCTGCATTTACTACCCGCAACAACTCTGTAAAACAGGTACCCCGCCCACTGTATGAAATGGGTTAAAAGAGAGGTCAAGAGAGGGTAGCCAACTGAAAAGATCATTAGAATCTGTACTCTAGAGCCATCATTCCTCAGTAACCCAGCTCTGCCTCAGACCATAGAAGCTCCCTCGTGGCTCCCTAGCCACATGTACTGGAGCTCTCTACTTTTGGGGGGACCAAGGAGGGTCTCACCATCAGCCGTGCGTGGTTGATGTTCCAGGTGAAGGTGGTCATGGTCTGGTTCTGTGGGTCCACAATAGAATCCTCCAGGATGTACACCGAGTGAGCAACATTGGCAGGAAACAGTCGCTCTGCCCAGCGGGGCATCCTGTTGGTCTTGGTCAGGAGTCGCCGGGACAGGAGCTTCTGGTCAGGGGTCACCTCCCGGTGCACTATGTCTTCCGTCAAGACATGTTTGCTGCAGGTGTCAGAGTGAAGGTGACCCTCTGGAGCCTGCCCCTGAGAGACGGCCTGTTGGGGTTCCCATCTGGAGCCCCCCAGCCCAGAATGGCCATGCCTTCCCCTAAACTTGCAGAGTGATCTGTGCTGTGGCTCAGACCTGAACTCGAAGCCCTTGAGCCTATCCTAGGGCAAATTCCAACTCCTGCCCCCTCGCTGACCTGGATTCCTGGGCCATCCAGCAGGGCTGGGCCTCATGATTTATTGCACCACCGGAGAGCGCCACAGGCAGAGGACTAGGCAAGCGCCAGGATTTCCAACCCCAAGGTCCCTCCCAACTCCTGTGCCGCCGGCTCTTCCAGTCTCACCACCCAGAGATGAGAGAACCTTAGACTAGGGCCTCAAGTAAACCACCGCCCAGGCCCAGCCTCCTTCCAAGTACCTTTGCAGGCCTGGCCCGGCCGCTTCCCGGATAGGGTCCCTCTTGCCCTACAGACGGCCACAGTGCCGGCGATCCCCTACCTCGGACTCGATGTCGAGTCTTTCCTGGCCCCACACTTCGAACTCCAAACAGCGAGGGGGAGGGCTGCTCTCTCCAGGGCCACGTACCTATAGGGATTCGGGTAACGCTGCCAAAAGGCAGCGAACACTTGGTCCCAGGAACTCCGGAGCACGCTCTGGCCCAGGAAATACTTCACCATCGTCCCAGCCGGGGCGGGCTCAACAACCGCGAAGCATCAGGGGTGCGGAGCCCGGGGGGCACGCGGAGGCCGGGCCGGGGCTCGGCGCACGCCCGCCAGGCTCGCAGCTCAGTCACCACTGCGCCGCGCCCAACCAGCCACCGCCGCCATGAGGAGCAGTCGGGACGCGCACTACTTCCGGCGCAGCAGCGCTGAACCCACCACTTCCGGCGCCTGTGCACGTGACCTCGTGGCCCCGCCCCTCCCTCCTCCCCCTGCGGGAGTCCAGGCGCAGCAGGCCGGAGGCAGGTCGGCGGGACCCCGGGCTCGGTGAGGAATCCGTGCCGGACAGCGCCTAACCGGGCGGGCGAGCGGGCGGCGGCGTGCGGCGCCGTTGAGGGCGCTGCCCCGCGCGCTCCCAGGCCGCCCCGGGTCCTGGGCTCTTCCTTCGAAGGAGCAGCAGCGCCCGGGACCGAAGAGCGGGGGCGGACGGGGGCGCTGCCAAGGCTCGAGCCCGACGCGGTATCTCGAGTCGCAGGTTGGCGCCCCGGGTCAGGGACTGAGGCTTGGGCGCCGCCTGCCCGACCGGAGATTCGGGTTTGCCTCCCGCCGCCGCTCAGGCCCCTGACGTGGGTGAGGCGGCCCCGGGAGCATGAGCGGGCAGCGCGTGGACGTCAAGGTGGTGATGCTGGGCAAGGAGTACGTGGGCAAGACGAGCCTGGTGGAGCGATACGTGCACGACCGCTTCCTGGTGGGGCCCTATCAGAACGTGAGTGCGCCCCGCGGGAACAGGCACGGGTGGGAGGGGGCCAGCTCACACCGCGGCCCTGAGCCCTTCGCTCTGGTTGCAGACCATCGGGGCCGCCTTCGTGGCCAAGGTGATGTCTGTCGGAGACCGGACGGTGACTTTGGGTATTTGGGTAAGTCCCGTGGGCAAGTAGTCCTGGGAGACCCCATTCTTGAGGAGGCTTAGGTCCTGCCTATTACTGACTGACTTGTGGCTTCACAGAGGCCATTTCTCTTCTAGACCCCAGTTTAAAAATGGGGGTGTGGAGGACCTGGGGAGTGCTCAGGAACTCAGGCCAGGTCTGAGCCTCCCCCTGCCTTTCAGGACACAGCAGGCTCTGAGCGCTACGAGGCCATGAGCCGAATCTACTATAGGGGCGCCAAGGCTGCCATCGTCTGCTATGGTAAGGAGGGTTCTGGCCTATTCCTCAAACAAGAAGGGGTGGGTGCCAGGCTGGCCTTAGAGAACAGCCCCTGACTCTTGGTTGTGTTTCTTGCATGTCCTATACCAAGACCTTACGGACAGCAGCAGCTTTGAGCGGGCAAAGTTCTGGGTGAAGGAACTGCGCAACCTAGAGGAGGTAGGCAGCGAGACCTCACCAAAGGACCAGGAGCTGGGGCGCTGGTGGTCTGTGGGGGTGACCCACCTTGTGTTCTGCTTCAGGGCTGTCAGATCTACCTGTGTGGCACCAAGAGTGACCTGCTAGAGGAGGACAGGCGGCGTCGACGTGTGGACTTCCATGATGTCCAGGACTATGCTGACAGTAGCTGCTCCTCAGCTCCCTGGGGGAGGGGGAGGGAAGTGGCTGCTTGGGTGGGTCACAGAAAATAGGGACTGCCTTGGCTGCCATGGCAAGATCACCTGGGAAGGCTTTCTAGCCTCCCTGGACCTGTGGGGTCCAGAAGATTCCCTGAACTGCTAGCCTTCCCCTTTGTCTGTGTCCACCTGATTGTCAGATATGAGGCCTTAGTCACTTCTCTTTACAGATATCAAAGCTCAGCTCTTTGAAACATCCAGCAAGACAGGCCAGAGTGTGGGTGAGTGCTGTCTTGGGCCTCACAGCAGGAACAGGCAGGGCACCAGAGGAGGCAGGGAAGAACCTAGAGAGCTGGGTCACTGGGTGATCCCAGGGCTACTGGGATTGGGCCCTCACTGACCGTCCTTTTTCCTGCCAGACGAGCTCTTCCAGAAAGTGGCAGAGGATTACGTCAGCGTAGCTGCTTTCCAGGTGATGACAGGTGTGTGCTTCCCTAGCCTCTTTGGAGACTTCCTCCAGGCCCACGGCATCTGGCCCCATTCACGGAGTTACCCGATCCCCCAGCAGAACGGTGCTGAGCTACCATCTCTCTCTCTGACAGAGGACAAGGGCGTGGACCTGGGCCAGAAGACAAACCCCTATTTCTACAGCTGTTGTCATCACTGAGTCATCACTCATCTGGCCTGGGGGAATTAAAGGAATTCCTCCAGAGGGGCTGGACCTAGCTCTTGTCCGGGCCTGGGTGGTCAAGCGTTTGAGCTACCCCAGGTCCCCATGGCAGCAGAGGTGGCACCTACCTGTGCTGGCCCATGGAACAGAGGCAGCATTGGGCTGACTGATGGGCATGAGGGTAAGGGCTGATTTGGACCTCAGGCTTCTGCCCTGGACAGCACTTGTCTCTGCGGATTACTTAAGTGGCTTCTGATTTGTAAATAAAATCAATGCACTGTGAATCACACTCACCCCTTTCCCTGCTGTGTGGACTGGGTGTCAACAACCTAGTTCTTTCTGGGGCCACCTGGCTGGCCTCATTTCCTACATTAAGGCTCCTCTCAGGTCTTATTTTCCTTTGGAAACCAAGTAACTTCACCCCAGGGTTGCGACTGAGATAATGGAGAAACAAAAGGGCCCTTTCCTATTCTTTAGTGGGGGCAAAGATAGGGTGAGAGATTGGGCAGTGGAAAGTTCAGTTTGTTCCTGGTGCTGAGTAGAGCAAAGCAGGCACTAAATGGTGTCTAGAGATCAAAGGGTCAAGCACTTCCACCTCAGACTGGCTGGCTCTACCACATCTGTCATGTCTAGGTCTGTGAGTTATGCCTGTGGCTCAGATCCTAAGCTTACCAGCAACATCCTACAAAGTGGTTCAACAGTAGAAAAATCATAGGTTCTGCAAGACAGAAAGGTCTTATGGATCCAGACTGGGATCCAGTTCAGCTACTAACTTAGAAAAGGGACTTGAACTCAGCCTGAGTTTCTCTTCTGTAAAATGAGGTGAGCACTACCCAGTTCAGGACTGTGAAGATCAAGAGTGAAAAGTAACTCTAGGACTAAATGTTTGTCTTCCCTCACTCTTCCCTGGAGAGCTTTTTGCCCAAGGGGCAGGAAGTTCAGGACTAGTTCAGAAGAGAAGGCAGACTCCCAAGTTTCCCCCAAAGTGTATTTTTGGACCTTGGAGATCCAGATATTTCTGAAGGATCTGGTGTTACTGTAGACAGGGCTGAAGCTTCCTGTTCAACCAAAATGAAGTGTATGCAGCCCTTTCCGGTATGAGAGGCTTGGCCCCTTTGCCTCTGCTTTCCTGCCTTAGGCCTGGGCTGGGTCCTCTGCAGTGCCCAGCACCTGCCTCTGAAGAACTAAAGACGTGGCCAAGATGGTCAGACTCACACTCGGTAAATTGGTTTGGTTCCACTTCCTTTTTTAAAATGAATTCCTCAAAATACCCTTCCTTCATGGTTAATATATATAGGCTTCCTGTGTAGGGACTGAAACTGACACCAGCCACTCCCAAAAGAAGTGAAAAGACATTCCAGCAGCTGGTGGCTACTGGCAGGAAACACACCACCACTCCCATGAGGTGCTTGGAGGAAGGGCTTGGCTCCACTGTGTCCCCACCTGGGAACTATCTCAGGGGCTGGCTTCTGCTCTCACCCCAAACCCATCCTCCCTCCTGTTAAGCTACATCTCCCCACGGACAACAAAACAAAACACAGGGCAAGGGCCATAAGAGTAAAGTTAAACTTTACTTTACAGTAATTTTTTTCTATATACAAAGAATTACAGTACATGTTTATGGGGACTCCTAACACAGGGCTCCCCTCTTTTTCACTAGGAGTTTCACTTACAGCTGACAATCTGTGGGGGTGAGGAGGAGCAAAAAAATCAGTGATGGACCTCAGCTGACCCCCCCACCCCTTTCGTAAAAATATAAAGATAGATGTCTATTGTCAGCTTGTTTCTTTGCCAAGACTTAGAAAGCTGCTCTTCCTGTGTGAGCTCCTGTGTGCTGCACTCACCCATCTTCAACACATTCTCACCTACATGCACACACAGGCAGCACCCCCTCAGACTTGGACACTGCCTGTTCTCTGCCCCTACCCTGGAAGTCTAAAGCACCGGAACCATTCATCTCTCCTACTCCAGGGGTTCACCTTCTGTCGACACAGCTTTGCTTGACTTCCAGGGTGTTACACCTGAAGCCCCTCAATAGCCTGATGTTTTGAAAGGCATGAGAAAGCAGCTCTAGAGAAGGGACCACATACGAGTTTAACATGTGCTGTTTTTGCTTATGTTAATAGGAAACATTTCTTCTCAGGCTGTGGATTTCTAATTAAACTCTTTTCCACTTAAGAAATATTACCCTTAATCTTCATTAAGCAATAGAGGTCCTCCCATGAGAGTGGAAGAGGTAGTGAGGGGCAGAAGGTAACCGAGGGAGACCCCACAAATGGAGCTTTCTACTGACCTGTTCCAGGCAGTGTGGACGGAGGCTATGGACAAGGTGACACCAGCCCTGAGAAACTCAATGGCCACCCTCATCTACCTACGGCATCTCTTCCACTTCTGGATTGCGCTGGACCACTCCAGGGTCAGGTGCAGGCTTCATGGAGGCTCTGCCTTCTCCTTCTCTAATAGAGCCTCAAAGAAACTGTTTTACATTAAATCTCTTCCTCCCAAACAGGAACCTGGGTTTCTCAAGTCGCCAGTCCCTCAACCCTTGGCAGTGCTTGTTTATACCAGGAAATTAGCACCATCATTACATTTTTTTGTGTACAATTATCTATTCTTATTTCAATTTATACTACAGCAACCTCTGGCCCTGCTGCACTGGCCTAGGAAGCTCAGCTGAGAGCTAACTGGCCACAGCCAATGCAAGTCTCATGCAGCAGCTACCTAGCTCTAAATGATCTGGAATGTCTAACACATGGAACAGCCCAAACATTATTCAACAGAAGGGGCTTGTGGGAGCTCCTTTCCTGCCATGATCTGAGAGGGTAGGACTCTGGGCCACTCTGACCTCCTGGCTGACAAACCCCAAGAGGATGACAATATCCCCCAAAAAAGCCTTAGGAGAAAACCCGCTTTATAGGAGCTGAGGGCAAAATCCATCCACGTTTAAGCTCTCTTGACTCCTCTCCACGGGGGAAGCTGCCAGGACCAGATTTCCTGCCACTCTGTTCTCACAAGGCGACCTGGGAGACCAGCTCCAGTGAGTAGACACTGGCGAGCCTGGGAAAGGATCGCTGATGCACACTTCATGCCCTGACCGTAGTGTGGGGTAGAGGATGTTAAGAATAAAATCATTACTTTCATCAATGCTAAAGATGTAGATTTCGTAGTTGAACAAGGAGGATCAACAACACAGTGATTTAAATCACCTCAAATGCAGTAACTTTGGGGGGCGGGAGCAGATATTTAAAAACTTGGATGCTTTTGTAGCAATGACAGCTATTTTGCTATTAGAATGGGTTTGCTCCTGTAGAAGCAAATGAGGCTTTGAAATCTAATTTCAACACTTTCCATACAATTTTCCTGACTTAACAGGGCTAGGAGAGGTATTGGTTCTCTAGCTACCTATGGAAGCTATGGCTTCCCCCTCAAAATGGCTTCCTAGGGAAATTGGCTTAGAGGCAGACTCTCTTGAGATCCCAATTTCCAAGCACTTGGCCAAGGACCAAAATACCATCCTGGAAAGAGCAGGAGTTTATAAGAGGAAAGATTTCCTTTTAACTGCCAATCCATACCCCCTGGAGAAAAAATCTCGGAACAGGCTCCAGGAAAGTCCCCGAGGGCCAGCAGGGTCACTCCCTCTCCAACAACTGCAAGTCTCACTTCCCAACAGTCCTTCCGACTCTGCTTCTAATTGTACACTGATTGCTTTCCTGATGTTAACAAGCTGGATCAGATGCTGCTATCAGTGGGCCTGACAGTTGAATTTCTAGTTTCCATTCAACCTGAGAGGGTGTTTCAATGGCCCTCACGAAAGCCTGGCTGTCCGTTCATGTACATAAAGAACTGACCCCCCCTCTCCCCCTGCAAACAAAGCACAGCTCAGTTGTTTTCCCAGGCAGGTCTGGAAGGAAGTTTCCAGTGAATGGTGAAGAATGGAAAGAATCAAAACAAAACCACAAAGTGGCCAATCATGGCCCACCTTTCCCTCACTCCTTCCTGTCCTGTGAGACATTTCTAGAGTGGCTGTCAAGTCAATTACCTACCAAAGCCTACTTCAGAGAAGCTACTTCAGGATCAAACTTCTCCAATTTTTCTTTTTACATAGCCTGCACACAACCCCTCCCCCCCCCAAAAATTCACAGTTTATTTCATGAAACAAAGAGCTACGGTAATTTAACACATAACAGGGTGAAGGATTCTGACAGTGCAGTGCAGATATCTTTTTCTGATCACAACTACAGATGACAGTAGAGAAGAGGGCACAGGACTGGCACCAAGCAAACCCTACTCATACAACCTAAGAGGTCAGGGAAAGGGACCTACTAGCTGCAGTTATATACTTATTCTCACACATGATAAATACTTAATATAATGAACTTTACGGTTCTGGGTGGATTTCTTTAAAAATATCTTTTCCATGATTTAAAATTTTTTCAAAAGAAAATAAGATGCTTTGTTTTCTCTTCCTTTTAAACAAAGAGCTTTTCCTCTCTGATGATGTGGGAAGAGAGATAGGATGAAAATAGAGAACTAGGCAGGTGGAATTTAGAGGAGCTTCTGGGGTCTGAGAGGCAGGGATAGGCCCCTAAACTTGGGGCTCCCCTGCCCAGCCTCGTGCCTCCGCCTGAGTTCAAGTGTCTCAATACCAGAGACAGACTTTGGAAAATAAAAGCAAATTCTTCTTTAAATTTTTATATAAAGCGCAAATGCTTCTATAACAACTGTTCCCTCCTTAGAAGTGATGGGAGTAACCTCAATAGGAACCTAGGAGGAGGAAACTGGGACAAAATACAGAATCCTGTTGAGGGTGTAAAAGCCATAACTGAGACAGAATGGCCAGGAGACGTTTGGGCCAGGAGATGGCCTGTTGGCTAAAGCTGCTGGCTAAGTTGGCAAAGCAGAGAGGTAAACATGTTTGGTCTAGGGACAAAGGAAGGGTGGGTGAAGGGGAAGGAACTGGCCAAACAGCACTTCCTGTTGGCAGTCGGCGAGCTGGGTGAATGGTAGGGCAGGGTAGCACCAACAGATTTCCCAGCCCTTGGGCCCCAGCTCAGGGCAGCAGTAACAGATAATCAGCAGTTATGAGGAGTCATCTCTTAGACTGGACATTGCTCTAAACGCCACATCTTGCCAGTCCTAGGGGAAGGGTTCTGGCTTGCCTCTGAGCTAAGTCAGTAGGCAGGTGCTCTCAAAAGAGAGCACAGCAATTCTCAGGGAGAGGGTGGTAGAATCCACTAATGAAGAAGAGGACTCCCTCCATTCAAGTAGGAGGTCAAAGGATCAGAAGTA